GCAAACCCACCCCTTAATCCACGCACTGGGTTCCGCCAGGGTTTTAGCTCAGTAAACATCTGCTGTGTGTGCTTCTCAGCTTCAAGCGCTGGAAAGGTTGGAGCCGTGAGGACACTGGTCGTGTTCCCCGGGTGGGGAAGGGGAACAGCCTTAGAAGTGACTTTGGTTTCACAGGGAAAGCTGCCTGTGACCAGGCAGAGGAGTGGAGTCGGGGGAATTCGAGGTGAAATCGATTCACTAAAAATGTTTAGTTGCTGGGACGAGATGGTGAGTGTTTGGTCATAAAGTTTTCTCTGCTTTTTCTGCATGTTGGAAAGTTTATGTTAATAAAATGGGTTGGGAGGCAGAGCCCAATGGTAAAGCGACTCCCACTGAGGAAAGGATTCTATAGGAAACGGTTCCAGATGGGTATGGATCCTTCCTTCGTCAAGGATGAGGCTTTGGGTGGTGAGTAGAGTCGGTGGGTAAGGGTTCCACAGAGACCTGCCCGGATGTGACTGAGGGAGGCTGGCTGGGCCCAGATTGGAGGGAGAGGACATGCACACCCACAGAGAGTGCTCCCCCATGCGTCTACAATCGTGGCAGTGCTCCCCCCGTATGCCTGCAATCCTGCAATCCTGGCAGTGCTGAGCCCAGGTGGAACTGACTGTCTCGGGGCACCATGCTCTTCCCCAGCTCCTGTCTCAGAAGATACTGGGGAGGTTCCATCTTCCAGTGGGAGACAAAGTCCCGTGAGAGGGACGGGCACTCTCGCTTTTCACTGAGTAACCCATCTTTTTTTTTTTTCTTTTTGCTCCACCTGGCGGCCCCTGTGATCTGGCATGATTCATGGCAGTTTTCCCAGATTCCTCCAAGTCCAAGGATAGCATTTGAATCATTGAATTAGGACCTGGGCTTTGGGTTTTGATAAAGGTCAGGGGAGGGTGTAATTCTGGTTTATAAGGATGATTGAAAGGGTCATTTCCTTGACTTGGGAGTTGCCGGAGCAGCTTAATTTCGCCCCTCCCCCCCATGACTTCTTGACTTGGCAGCTTTCTCATGGGGCGTGGGGGGTGGGGGGCCTCCCGGGAAGTGTTCAGGGGGCCTGTGCATGCCAGCCTGACGATAAGGTGCTTGGGCTCCACCATCTGGTTCTGGGGCCTCGGGCTCACTCCAGTGGTGTTTCAGTGGTGCTCACTCCTGCTGCTTCCCAGGGGGCATGAAAGGTTCTTGTAGGAACTGGACATTGGCGCTAGCCCGAGCTGCTCCTTTGCCTGCCCCGACCCTCAGTACGGGCCCCCAGCACTCTGTGCTGCAGAAACTCTCCTGCTTAGCCCATTGCAACGTGAACAGAGAAATGTTTTTTTTTTTCTCTTGAAAATATACATTCAGGGGCTGGAGTGATAGCACAGTCTTGCATGCGGTCGACCTGGGTTCAATTCCCAGCATCCCATATGGTCCCCTGAGCACCGCCAGGAGTAATTCCTGAGTGCAAAGCCAGGAGTAACCCCTGACCATCGCCAGGTGTGACCCAAAAAGCAAAAAAAAAAAAAAAAAATTCACCTGGTTTAAAGGCGTTTAGGGTTATAAAATTGGTTATAAAACTTTTATCCTACTAGTGTTTAAGGATCAGAATTATTCCTGCTATCTAAACAGGGAAATTGATTTAACCTCTCAAGATTCTTGATGAGTGCAAAGATAAACAAAACAAACACTGTCCTCCCGTTGTTCATCGATTTGCTCGAGCAGGCCCAGTAACATCTCCATTTTGGACTTGTTGTTACGGTATTTGGCATTGCCTGGCACCCGGGCCTGCACTCTGCGCCCTCAACCCGTTTCGGAAGAGATTTCAGTGCTCCTGAGAAGCGCCCGCTTTCTGGGTTCCACGCACTCGAGAAAAATGGGAGTTTCTTATGAAAAGAAATATGGAATTACCATATAGTCTGGTAGCTACACTTCTGGACGTCTATGCGAGTTAGAAGAGTCTCTTGAAAAAACATCTTTTTAAGCTTCTGGTTTCTAAAGGTGTTCTACCTGCGGATGAAAATTAGAAAAGGGCTACAGGATCTCCTTATAATTTTCAGTTTAAAAAAAAAAGTTGTCATTGAGAGAATTGTAAATCATGATACATCAGTAAAAATTGGGAGAAGGGACTTTTTGGTAAATGGAGAGAGCATCTGCCTTGGTCCTGTGAGGCCTTGGGTTCAATTCTTGGCACTGCACCACCTAATTATTTATTTATTTATTATTTATTTGTTGAATCACCGTGAGAACAGTAACAAAGCCTTTCACTTCCAAGTCTCGGTCAGTCATACAATGATCAAACACCTGTCCCTTCACCAGTGCGCATTTTCCACCACCAAGAACCCCAGTATACCCCCCTCCCACCCACCCCCCCCACCTGTGTGGCAGATTTCCACTTTACTACGTATTTATTTTTTAAAATGTCCTTTGGTTTACAAAGACAGCACGGAGCAGCCAAGCCGTGCTGAGGTTCACCCGTCAGGGGACAGTCTGAGGGACCACCCAGCAGGCTGCGGGTGGGGGGCTCAGCTTATGGCTGTTTGGATTGTTGCGAACACACGTAGCCCACAGGACCTCAGAGCCAGTGTGGCTGTGACGTGGGGGACAGGGAGGCAGAGTGGGGAGTCTCACCACGTGCCCTGCGCTCATTCTGATACATCTTGTGTTCCGTCTTTGGCTCCAGCGTGGAGTGGGGCTGCGCCGAGCTGTTTCCAAGGGTGGCTGGGGGCTCAGGGGGCTCTGAGGACAAAGTTGTGCTCCGTCACCCTCACTCACTTGCCAGCGACCCTGTTCTCTTAAGCGCGACAGCGCTGCCCCAGGACACGAAGTTGCAGAAGGTTAAATGCAGAAAGCAGGCACCCGATTGTTTCTCATTAAACCAGATATTGAGAGGACAAAGAAGAAGGGAAACCCGTGCCCGCCTTGGTGCGCGTTTGTTTGGGGAGAGAAGAGTTGTTCTCCATAACGTAAGCCATGTGGCACAGCACATTTGATGGGCATAAGGTCGAAGACAACCAATCCCGATAATAGATAACAGTGTAGCACTGTCCGCCGTTGTTCGTCGATTTTCTCGAGCGGGCCCAATAACATCTCCATTGTGAGACTTGTTGTTATTGTGTTTGGCATATCGAATACGTCACGGGTAGCTTGCCAGGCTTTGCTGTGCAGGCGAGATACTCTCGGTAGCTTGTTGGGCTCTCCGAGAGGGGTGGAGGAATCGAACTTGGGTTGGCCAGGCCGGCCACGTGCAAGGCAAACGCTCTACCCGCTCTGCTATCACTCCAGCCCAACTCAAACTCTAGCAACATGTTAATGATTTCTAATTCAGGGACTTAATGGCTCCAAGGTGAGATACAACAATTTTCACACTCTCTCCTCTAAGGAAAGCTTTTTGGATCATTTTTAGTCAATTATTCATCACAAGCAATACAAAATAAATTATTTAGCATCTGCCTTTGGGGCAGGCTTGGGTGGTGGTGGGAAAACTCGAAATAAAGGTGGCGGGAAGGTGTAATGGTGGTGGATTAGTGTTGAAATATGGAATGTACTCTATTACTGTAATGTAATCAGTTACTGAACAACTCTTTGAAAATAAAAAAAAAAATTAAAAAAAACAAGCATAAGCTACGTGGGTTAGATCGTAATGAAGCGATCGTGTTACTTTAAAATCGTTTAGAAGCTGGAGCGATAGCGCCACAGGTAGGGGCATTTGCCTTGCACACGGGCCGACCCGGGTTTGATCCGTATCCCCAGCATTGCCAGGAGTAATTCCTGAATGCAAAACCAGGAGTAACCCCTGAGCATTGCCGGGTATGACCCAAAAAATAAAATAAAATCAATTAATAACGTTCTGGTCGAGACTTGCTGTCTTGGACTCTCTCTGCTTGATTTCTTGTGGGATCAGTGCTGGGAAGCCCCTGTTCTACAGCCTTAAAGGAAGAGCAAGACAGTTGTAGATGAAGGGCTTTGGAAAGGTGAGGCCGTGCACAGCAGGAGACTTCCCATGGCACAGCTAAGCTGGGGTCGGGGGACCGTGCAGAGACGGGGTGTGTGGAGTACTCATTTCTTCTGTTCATGGACAAATCTTTTTCAAAGCGGTTTTGCCCCTTTGTCTTGGCAGGGATGAGTCACACACTTGGTTTTGGTGCTTGCATGCTCTTTGGTGGTCGTGCCACACACTTGTTACCCTGTGTTGGAGGTTCTCCAGGATGCTGTGCTGGGGGTCCCAGTCGGCAGCAGCACCCCAGGACTCTGCTCAGCGTGTGGGCCCTCCTCCGGGGGCCGAACCTGTGACCTCATGCTCGCAGGGCAGCCACTCGACTGTTAACAACATCTTCCCACAGGCGTGTTCCGTTCTTTCCTGTTGGTCATCTCGTCATTTCCAGGACATTTTACTTCTTTTTTCCCAGTGGTCTCAGACAACCCTTCATCATTAAAGGAACGAACTAAAAATAGTCTCCAGAGTTTTCAGTCAAGAAGGGGACCGTGAAGGGGGCTGGAGTGGTAGCACAGCGGGTAGGGAGTTTGCCTTGCACGCGGCCAACCCGGGTTCGAGTCCCAGCATCCCATATGGTCCCCTGAGCTACTGCCAGGAGTAATTCCTGAGTGCATGAGCCAGGGGTAACATACATCGCCAGGTGTGACCCCCCCCCACCAAAAAAAAGCAAAAAAAAGAAGAAGGGGACCGTGTTCCAAAACCCTGGAAGTAGCGGCCTAATGTCAGGGCAGTTTCTTCACCTAAGTCTTGAGTTCCTTGTCTGTGAAACGGGACTGGTGGCATCTTAGCTTGCGGGCAGTGGTGAGAATGAGCACTGATGCACAGGGAGCCACATGCCAAGGGTTTGGTGCAGGAAATGGAGATGCTGGCGGCTGCTCTGTTCGGGGTCAGCACATGGCAAGGGGTTTTTTTGCACCCCAGGTCCTGGAATTCGCGCCCCCCCCCACCACCACCACCACTTTCGCCGCATCTGACCTGGCCCTTCTTCTCTGCCTTGCAGGGCTGCTGAGCGGCCAGACCTCGCCGACCAACGCCAGGCTCGAGAAGCTGGACTCCCAGCAGGTGCTGCAGTTGTGTCTCCGGTACCAGGACCACCTCCACCAGTGTGCGGAGGCCGTGGCTTTCGACCAGAACGCGCTGGTGAAGCGCATCAAAGAGGTAATGGCCCGGAAGGCACCTGCGCTGCATGATCGTTGCCTGCGGTTCCCAGGGCCTCCAGAGCCCTGCACCTCTGCGCCCGGTGGCCACTGAGCCTGGTCCCTCGGAGAGTCATCACGGTCACAGTTGGGGCGTCTGCTCCCACTGATGGGGGGCGGGGAGGGGGGGTCGTTGCCTTTTCTAGCAGCAGCAGATGGCGAAAGAGAAGGGCTCAGGGAACTGGAATGATGGGACCCTGGGTCACCACTTCCCGCACCCGGGAAAGTTACTTTCCCTGTCTTTATCTCCTCAGTTTCCTCATCTGCAAGGTAGCGCCACTAGTGGCAATGCCCCCTGCCCCCGCCCCACCAAAGACTTAGGAGTAAATCACTTGCTCTCACGTTCGGTCTTCCAGGCGACTGGCCGTTTCTGCTCCGAAACTTGTCCTTGACTTTCCCATAGGCTAGCATCCTTCCCAGAAGGAACCCGTGACTGTGGTGTCAGTCACTGTTCCCGCTCGGTGACGCTCCCTGATTGGGGAAAAGTGATGCCACTCACTCACCCACGAGATCTCCAGGGGAAGGTTCTTGCCAGCTCGCAGAGCCAGGGTGAGTGGCAGTGACGGTCAGGGACATGTACCTTTGGCCAAACTGCCTGCTGACCAAATGCCTCCTTATGCTTCCATGGTATAAGTAAATACCTTTTTTTTTATGACAATTTTTATCTTTTTTTTTTCTTTTAAGAAGTTCATCGATTTGCTCGAGTGAGCCCAGTAACATCTCCGTCATGAGATTTGTTGCTACTGTGTTTTGGCATAATACGTCACGGGTAGCTTGCCAGGCTCTGCCATGCGGGCAAGATACTCTCGGTAGCTTGCCGGGCTCTCCTAGAGGGGTGGAGGAATCGAACCAGGCTCAGCCAGGCTGGCTGCGCACAAGGCAAACAGCCTACCGCTGTGCTATCGCTCCAGCCCACGTTAAGTTAAATAAACTTCTTAACTTTATTTAAGAAGTTAAAAGAAAAAAATCACCGTGAGATACAGTTACAAACATGCATGATTACATTTCAGTCACACAATGCTCGAGCACCCATCCCTCCACCAGTGCACGTTTTCCACCACCATTGTTCCCAGTGTCCCTCCCGCCACCCCCACCCCACCCCACTCCCTGCCTCTGTGGTACATACCATCCTTCTTACTCTCTCTCTAATTTTGGGCATTATGGCTTGCCATACAGATGCTAAGAGGTCTTCGTGTTTGGTCCTTGGTCTATTTTCAGCACACATCTCCCATCCCGGGCGATCCCTCCAATCATACTTAGTGGTTCCTTCTCCGTCCCAACTGCCTTTTCCCCCAGCACGTAGGGTCGGTTTCCAATCCATAGTGTGATCCTCCTGGCCCTTATCTCTACTGTCCTTAGGTTAAGCACCTTTTTAAGAGTTTTCAATTGAAGATGGATTTGGAGTCCCAGGGGTTTAAAGCTGCATCAGATAAAGAAAAGTTCAGGAACGCTCTTGAAGAAACCATGTAGGGGGTACCGGAGCCCTAGTCTAGGAGGTCGGGTGTTTCTTTTGCACATGGCTGGCCTGGGTTTCATCCCTGGAACCCGATAATTCGCCGGAGCAGAGAGGCAGGAGTAAGCCCTGAGCACTCACTGGTGTGGCCCCAAAACAAACAAAAAAATGTGTAGACTTTTCTTTTGGGGATACCGGGGGCTGGGGATACTTAGGACATTGGTGGTGGACAGTGTGCACTGGTGGAAGAATGGGTGTTAGATCATTGTATGACTGAAACTTAGACATAAAAACTTTGTAACTGTAGCTCACAGTGTTTCAATTTAAAAAAAAAAAACCTGTAAAGCAAAACAACAAAAAACAGTCGGCCGTGCCCTGGGGTTGCTGCCCATCAGAGGCCAGTGGGCACTGTACCCAGCTGCCTCAGGCATGCCCGTGGAGCAGAGGAAATGCACGCCCCCTTAGGACTCCCTCCCATGACGCACTCTCTCTGCTCCTGAGAAATCCACATCCTTCTGTGCTCACTTCAGACATGGGGACTGGATTAAGTCACTTCCAAATGAGCGAAGGGGAGGACGTCGTCGTCGTGAGATCAAACAGCAGCTTTGAACCGCCACCCCGCCTTGCTCTGGTTTCGGCCCCCCCGCCCCGCAAGCCCCCACCGTACCCCTAGGCAGCCGATGCTGGCTCTCTTAGTGCAGGCCACGTGTGCTATGCTCAGAATCCCACTCTATGTGCATGATGGGCTGGCTGGGACTGGGGGGGCCCTCAACCAGACCCGTGAGGGGCGCCGGAGGGGTCGGTCTGGATGCCAGCGGGGTTAGTCCATAGGGCACCAGGTACCAACGGGAGGCCGGGCCGGGCAAGTCGGCAGCTGTCTTGTGTGACCGGTCGTTGGAGGGGACACCAGAGCAGCCCCCCCCCAAGCCACAGGGAGCATGTACTGACCCCCAAGGCCCCAGAAGGCAGCTTCTCTCTCATGTACCACGCCCAGCTGATGCTCCTGGCCAGCGGGCCACCCTCTGTCAGTTTGGGGGTGCCCTGGCGGCTTGTGGCTCTGCCCTGCCCAAGGCCCACCTCACTCCTGCTGCCAGAGTCAGGGGAAGGAGAGTAAGTAGCATGGATGAGAGGTTGAGGGGCATGGGGGACAGACCTGGTGGTGTCGAAGGACCTGGCAGTGCTCAGGGATCAAGCCTGGGGGTGCTCCTGGGACCTCCTGTGGGGCCAGCTTGGACCCAGGTCAGCCATGTGCAAAACCATCATCCTACCCATTGTCCAATCTCTCCAGCCTAGGTAGGAGGTTCTCAGGGTCAAGACCCCAACGTGTCACCCTTCACACTGGCTGGCCTCAGTCATACCTGGGAGACACCGTCTGTAGGTGGTCCGGGTCATCGCAAACATGTCTCCTCGGCCATCCTTTTATTTGGGTAGGGGGGATACTGCCTTCCCAGGCTTGGAGGTTCAGAGCCAAGCCTCACAGTACTTGCGCCCGAGGGTGCCGGGAGCTGAGGTGGGCAGCGAGCTGCCCAGGGTCCGACCAGGCCCTGTCACACGTGAGGGATGTGCTCGGCCACTTTTTGAGGGTCATCCGGCCCCTCTGGCATCTCTGACTCTCCCTCCCTAACCTGCCCCTGCCAGGCCGGGGCGGCCACCACGTGCCTCAACTGCCTGGGCCCCTGATTGGTCACTGGTTCTCTGAGCACAGAGGGTCCGGTGCACCCCTGGGTCTGGCCAAAAGAAAAACAAAAAAGCCACCTCTGGGCTGGAGCGATAGCACAGCGGGGAGGGTGTTTGCCTTGCACACAGCCCACCCGGGTTCGATCCCTGGCATCCCATATGGTCCCCTGAGCACCGCCAGGAGTAATTCCTGAGTGCAAAGCCAGGACCCCGGGGCTGCTTCGGGACTTAAAGGTCACCGCCCCGACATCCTCCGGGGTCACTCGTGGTGGTACTTGGGGGACCATGTGGTGCCGGGGATCAAACCCTGGGGTTCCCGCCTGCAAAGCTCATGCCCCAGCCCTTTGCGTGGTCTCCTGGCTCTCGTGGTCCGAGCCGCAGGCTCCAGCACTTCCCCTGTCCCCTCCCCCCCGCCCCCCTCATTCCTAGAGTTGTCCTAACACTTGTCCGCACGCTCCGAGAATCGCTCGGGGGTCACAGGCCACCGTCTTCCTGGTGACAGCTCCTGCTTGGAGCATGGCTTGTCCTGAACTAGTTGCTGTGGAGGAAAGGTCCCAGAGGGCCGGTCGACAGTGAACAGGGGCTCCAGCAGGAAAGGCTGAGAGCAGAGTGGGGGGCATCTGCTTCTTGTGGACAGAGGAGCTCGGGTTCCTGGCTGTCCTCACAGATGTTGCAGAGACCAGAGGGTTTTTTTTTTAAATATTTAAATATTTGGGGCTTGGAGGCTTTGCATATCTTGTATTGATCTGTGGAAAAATAACCACAAGATGATCTTCTTTTTGCCAGTTATCATACAGTAGGTCTTATTTAGAAACAGTAGGGGCCAGAGAGTTAGTCCAGGGCTTCGGACAGTTGTCTTGTGGTGCGCCGGGTCTGGATTCAAATACCTGCCAGCACATGCCCCCAGCAACACTGGGGGGGGGGTGACCCTGGGTGTGGCCCAAAAGAGCAAAAATAAAACCTTTAATATATATATCACTGTCACTGTCACTGTCCTCCCGTTGTTCATCGATTTGCTCGAGTGGGCCTAGTAACGTCTCCATTGTGACAATTGTTACTGTGTTTGGCATATCGAATACATCACGGGGAGCTTGCCAGGCTTTGCCATGCAGGCGAGATACTCTCCGTAGCTTGCCGGGCTCTCCGAGAGGGGCGGAGGAATCAAACTCGGGTCGGCCATGTTGGCCGCTTGCAAGGCAAACATCTTACCCGCTGTGCTATAGCTCCAGCCCGAATATGTGTGTGTGTATATAAAAGGTAAAGGTAAAGGCCCTCCCGTTGATCGTCGATTTGCTCGAGCGGGCCCAGTAACGTCTCCATTGGAGACTTTGTTGTTACTGTGTCTGGCATATCGAATACTCTCGGTAGCTTGCCGGGCTCTCCGAGAGGGGCGGAGGAATCGAACTCGGGTCGGCCATGTTGGCCGCTTGTAAGGTGAACGCTCTACCGCTGTGCTATCGCTCCAGCGATATATGTGTGTGTGTGTGTGTGTGTGTGTGTATATATATATATATATATATATATATATATATATATTTAATCACACAGCAGGCTGGCAAACTACCTGAGGCATATTCGATACGCAAAAAACAGTAACAATAACCAGACTCATTCCCCTGTCCCTGAAAGAACCTCCAATACAGTTGTTAGGAAAGACGAGTAAGGAGAGACTGCTAAAATCTCAGGGCTGGGGCGAATGGAGACGTTACTGGTGCCCGCTCGAGTAAATCGATGAACAATGGGATGACAGTGATACAGTGAATATTTGGGGCCATGTTTGCCGATGCTCAGGGGTTACTCCTGGCGGTGCTCAGGGGACCATGTGGGATGCG